ATTATTATTATTATTATTATTATTATTATTATTATTATTATTATTATATTATGAAATGAGTGTATACACAGTTTAAATATATCTATTTTATATTAAATCAATGCCATGGGTTAATTCATTGAAAATATTTTCCACGCAAATATTTCAGATATATAAAATACTTTTACAACAATCGAAGATTATAGAAAAATATGTACATTTTGCAGAAATAAAGAAATAAAAGATAAATATTTCTCATGACTTGCATATATAATAAAAACTTTATTACCAATTTCTTTTTTCTTTAATATTTAGGCAAGATAGCCCAATTCTTTAAAACATACTAATCTAAATATTTAACGTTAGAACTGAAAATGATCAATTTGTAATTTCTCATGGAAATTTTATATATTTATAATAATGTATTTTTAGAGACATGAATGATTTTGAGTGACATATATAAATAGAAACTTACGTTCATTATTATATTATAAATTTTGTCCTGTTCCTTGCACTTTAATTTCTCTGCTATACTTTAGTCGTTGGTAGCGATGGAGACAGTCCATGAAACTTTCTGAGAAAAATCAATGGCGCGATATGATATAATTAATAAATTTTCAAGAACTCGATAAATAAATTTTAATAAATATTTAAATCAATGAATTAATAAGCTTTAAAGAACTTCATAAATGAATTTATTTAAACAGTTTTAGTAATTTTCATTTTCATCTGTAATCTTCGATTCACATAATGTACATACATATTATAAAATACATTAACATTCTGCAACTGTTGAACATGTTTTCAGATAAGGCCTCACATTACAGATTTAATGATAACAATCACTGTCCATTCGATTTCTTCGTCAACAATTAATCCTGTTATCTTTACCCCATTTACGCATCACTCGAATGATCTGCTCCACTTGTGAATTCGAAGTGTTCTTCAAAAGTTGTACAATCTCAGGTAATAACTCTCTAAAAATGGCATTACAGAGGAGTCGTGTATTAACAAAATGACAAAATAATTTTTTATCAGAGAAAAAGATGATCATTCAACACATTCAAGACAAATGGGAATTATAGATCTCATATTTAGAAACGTAGTAAATAAAAGTTTCCATTCTTATTGATATCGAAAACATAGTAACGTGTTCTAGAAATTATAATGAACAATCGATTCCAAAAATGTTAAAAAGATTAAATCTATTTCTGCAGGTTGTTGATTTGAGTCCATCTCGAATTATGCATTAAAGAAAGATTGCTCACTTTGGCTGCTTTTCAGCTACAATGTATTGAAAAGTACCGCAACAAGCTCCTCGTTTCCCTTCCCAATTCTCCGGACTTGGATCCATTCGTTCCAACATATCGAACGCTTTCGCTGCATACCAAAATTCACCAACTTTGTAACAATCGTTCGCAATTAATTGAAGCAAATTGAACGATTCTGTCGTCGTGTCCATTTTTAGATACAAGTCCCAGGCTAACTGCGGTTTCTTGTTCATTATATCTGAATCAAAATGAAGAAACGAATAAATTCAATGATTAATTCTTTGCTGTGGGATTTTAACTTTTGGGCTCAGTTGTCCATTGTTGTAACGTGTTAAATGCAAAATTTTGAAGCTTTATATGTAATCTGTATTCAGTCATCTTAACAACACGACACTAACTTAAAATATGTTGAAACTAAGTTTTGTTATAAAAAAACATAATAGATCTTGATTTTTATATCATTTCAATGACAGAAAGAGTTTTTTTTAATATAACTTATTGTTAGATGAAAATAATATCTATCTATTATATGTAAAAATACCTATACTTTCTCTTAAAGATAGATAACAAATCCAAGAGGTTTTACATAAATACTAACAATTAATATTGTGATAATCAATATTTTTTAAATATTCAAAAATAGATTAAATTATAATTCAGATAAAAAAATAATTTAGATAATACACTAATTGGAAATTTAAATTTAAAAATAAAATGAATTAAAAATAAATTGTTACTCTATAGAAAAAAAAAAAAAAAACAGAATTGTCAGAAATAAATAGATTATAAATTTTTATGCATTTATACGAAATTTAAAAATCTAATAATGCACATAATATATCAAAAATATATCAAAAATATCCAAAGTGTATTTAATGGATAAAACAAATCTCTGATTAAGTTCAATTTCTATAATTACGTTCACAAAAATATAAATATGCATAAAAATTCGTAGTTTGCTTATTATTAACAGCTGATTAAAATTAAACGTCATATTACTTACAGCAATGTGCAAGAAGACTAATATAAATATAATCATTCTTGTATTTCTCATTCTTTATATTTAAAAACGCTTCTTCCGCCTCTTTGAAATAACCCGCCGCAGTTTGCGCCTGAGCGTAATTGAAGTTGAAATTGTCTTCGTTGGAGAAATAAGTTTTGATTGAATTTAAATACACCAGGACTTCCTCGAATTGACGATAAAGGAAAAAACAAGAGGCCATGCATTGTCTGCCAGGTATGGTGTCGCATTCTGACGCCGAAGAACCCACCAATTGAAAATACTGTTGCGCCGTTTTTATGTTATCCCGCTAACATAAGTTTTATTAATTAGTTTATTTTAAATGAGAACCATAACTGAACTAACAACGATGAGAAACTGTTGATATTTTAAATTTTTATATTTTAAATTCGTAAAAAAAAGAAACCGTATAATAATATAACTTAATCTCATTTTCAAAAAGTCTTCACTTTGATAGTTATGAATTTATGCTTTTTAAAGATACATTTTTACATTACATAGTAATTGATACGAAAGTAAAGACACTTTTATCCTCAAAAATTGTTAAAATTCAAATGTCTCTAAAAATATTGAACAACTGTTTTTGTAACTAGTAAATCCACTATAATCTTGAAATTTTCTTTCATCATTTCATTGAACTTTATACGTTCGCGTATCAAATGACGAAATATTAGAATTTTTTAAATTTTTATCGTAATATTTAAATTCAATAAAATAGTGAAAAAATTTTTACATCAAGTTCAAAAATTATTTAATGTTACATTTTTACAATTTTCGAAGATAAAGCTATTTTCTCACCCCTTATATAATATAAAGACATCGTTGAGAAAAAACGAATTCAAGACTGTCAAAGTAGAAACGTCAAGCTTTAAAATAAGATAAACTGATTGTTATATGATTTTTTTTTTTTTATAATAATTTGAAATATCAACGTTTAACTATTAGTCAATTCTAATTCATGTGTCAATATCTATGCAAACTTACGGAATTCGTTTCTTGTCCCATTACTGCGTTAACTATTCCTTTTAAAATATACTCCTGCGGAACAGCTGGTTCAAGATCTTTGATTAATTCGAACGCTTCTCGCACGTCGTCTTGCTTTAAATAATAAATCACTAGATTCAGTCTGGCTTCTGGTATAACGTCTACTAAATTCGGTAAAATTTGTAATGCACCTTCTCCGCCCTTGAATACCTAAAAGAAATTAATTCGTGAAGATTGTGCAATTTTTAAACGTAACTCGTAAAACGTACGTTCTCATTCAAAAATTTATAAATATATTAAGATATTAAAGAAAAAAGAAATGATTACTTTAAATAATTAAATGTTTTACTCATCAATATATTAGGTTATTATTAATGTTACTAATAATTATTATGATAATTATTTAATAATTTATTAATCATTATTAACTATTATTATATAATTATTATTAATAGTATACTAAATAAACTAAAATTTCGATTATGTAGACAAATTTGTTTTGTCTAAAAGATAAAGAATGCTTCAAATTTTTGACTAGTGCAACTTGTGAAAATTTTGTTGTGTTACATACGACGGTATTATGGCGTATAAGATCGTGACTGAAGCTGAAAGAATTCGACATCTTATCTATCAGCTGTTTCATTTCGTTTTGTGCAGCGTTACCATTATACAAACGAAAATGATTGCATGCTTTTAAATTTATGGCAATCGCACTGTCAGGATACTTTTGTAGATAAACTTGAAGAACTTCTTGAGCTACGTCGTAGTAATCCAGTTTGTAGTAGCACAAGGCAACATATACATTTAATGCAAAGTAATCTCTGTAAAAAAAAAAAAAAAAGAAAAGTGATCCTGAAAATTATTTTCTGAAAATAGTTTATTTATTATTTGTGTTGGTAGAGCTATCCATAACATTCTATTATCTGAACGGAATATTTAGTAATAGATGTCTTTTTTTTTTGAAAAACTATTTTCTATTTGTATTATTATACATTTGACGTATTTTTCAATATTCTTCCCTATAAAAAGCAAAATCAGTAAAATATGATATTAGATTAACTCGGTCTCTTTTTCGTTCAATCATTCCATGTTGTTCAACAAGTTCTTGTATTTGAATTTTCAACCTCCAAATTTTTACGTCGAGATCTTCTTAGTCAATACATCTAAATTATTATTGAAAAATCTTTAATTGAAAATTAGAAAACTATATATGTTTTTTTAAATCATCTGCAAAATGCAATTTAAAATTCGATGTAAGAACACCGAATTAATTTCTATAGCTCATGTAAAAAATTGTAGTTAATTTTGTAATAAATCAGTGTATAATTTTTCCACGAATTGAGACAGCAAACGAAAATAGT